AACATTTTAGAGAGGGTGCAAAGAAGATAGATGAAAACAGTACCAGGGATGAGTGACTCTGGTTACGTGGATAGATTGGAGAAGCAAGGCTTGTTCTTCTCAGAGGAAATTTTGAGGGAAGTTGCAGTCAAAGCACTCAACATTAAGATGGGCTTGGACAGTATAGAGAGAGAGAGAAGCTATTCCCTTTGGTGGCAGTGGGCATCAATTTAAGGTGATTGGCCTAAGAACCAGCAGTGACATGAGGGTAAACCTATATATGTAGCCATTGGTTGCCTGAGAGTGTGCTGGAGACAGACACAACTGGGGCTTTCTAAAATGGGTTAGAGAAGGACCTGAAGAGTAACAATTTGGAAGGGCTATGGGAATGGATGGGGGTGTGGGACTATCTGAGTTGTTCTTGCAGAGGAAATCACAACCTGAATGGCCTCTGTGCTGTAATTATTCTGTGGTTCTATTTATCCCCTCAATGGTAAGGTCTAATTGTCAATGCCCTACAGTATTTAAATGTGCGATATCCCTTGCAAATAATAAGTCGCTGTACGGTTTGCTGTGTGGATATCCGAAAGAGAGGAAGGTAATCAACGCTGCCAATGCAGAAGGCCAACAAATGGGGAGAGATTCAGAAATCTGATAAGAAGAATGACGATCTTGATGATCCCCAGTTTGAAAACCTAGAAGACAGGTGAGAAAGCTGCAGCACAGCTTTTGAACTGCAAATCCATCAAACATCCGGGTGGCATGGTGGCTCAGTTGTTAGCACTGCTGCCTCACAGCGCCAAGGAGCCGGGTTCGGTTCCACCCCCAGGCGACTGTCTGTGTGGAGTTTGCACATTCTCCCCGTGTCTGCATGGGTTTGCTCCAGTTTCCTCCCACAGTCCAAAGCTGTGCAGGTTCGGTGGATTGGCCATGCTGAATTGTCCCATAGTGTTCAGGGATGTGTGGGTTATAGGGGGATGGCTCTGGGTTGGATGCTCTGAGGGTCAGTGTGGACTTGTTGGGCCAAAGGGCCTGTTTCCATACTGTAGGGATTCTATGAACTTGAATTAAAAATAAAATTTTGCGGTGGCTGGAAATCTGAAACAAACACAGAGGAAACTCAGCAGGTCTGGCAGCCTCAGAGGAGAGAGAGAAGCAGAGTTAATGTTGTGAGACTGGTCTGAAGAGGAGCCATATTGGACTTGAAATGTTAACTCTGTTTCTCTCTCCACAGATGCTAACAGACCCGCTGAGTTTCTCCAGCATTCTCTGTGTTTGTTCCATTGAATACCTTGCCCTTCATAGTTGCAAAAATCCCCTGTTCAAGGCTTGGTCTGTGACAGGTATTTAAAGAGAAGCAAACTAAATTGGCAATACTTTTAAAACGTGATTCCTGTGCCATCATGTCTCCTTTTCAATTATGGGATATTTACATTTAATAGCACTCATAACTGTCACCCCTTGAACTGTGGCCAAGAGTTGATCAATGTCTTTCACATGTTTAATTTAACAAGCCGAAAACCAGATGGCTAGCCAAGGGAAGCTGGAGCTTTCGTTTTAAAGAAATATTTTGTGCTGCCAAAATTTATCTCCTGTTTATGAGACTGTGCATTGTCTAACTCTGTGCTAAAATATGTGGTTAGGTGGAACATGCTCCACAGAAATTAGACTTCATTGGTGTATGACTATGAACTGGCCTTTTAACTAATTTGTATCCATTTCCTGGGTCTCTCTAATATTCTGAGTTGAAGTGAAGGAGTAAGTATTGGTATTTGACACGCAGCAAAGGTTTATGAATAGCAAACTCATCCTTCACAAGCTGTTTCTGTGGTCTTGCAAGGACGTAGGCTAATCTCTCAAGAAAAACGCATTGAAATCAATCTTTTCATGAGCTATTATGCTGTCAGATTTTTGACAGGTCAAGATAATTATTGAAAAAAAAACCGGGAGAAGGAACCTTGAAGGTCATTTTTAAGCATGGTCAAACTCAGATGTGACATCAACAGTGCATCTGTTTCTCCTGATCAAAGACACTGTCCTGAGACCACAAGAAGCTTCAGAGTTCTGTCCCATTTAAATGACACAGTGGGCACTAAAACTTGCACTTTGCTGCAACTCAGTTGTTACTGAAGTGGTATATAGTCAGATTGATATGCAAATGATGATGGTGTACAACCCTGACATCAACAGGCACATGCTGTTGAAGCTTTGAGAAGAATAGAGGGACTGATTCAGAGAACCATCATCAGAATTCTCTACACTGGTCTGTAAATGAAAGAGATTGTTGGAGCTGGTCACTGGTAGCTAAGGCAGAGCCCGAGATGCAGCTGACTCAGGGACAGTCTAAGTTGACGAATGTGGTGCACGTAGCCAGCACCCAGACCTCTCAGGAGACTGAACCCATGAGGCCAGAACAGCATAGGGTTGAACGTAGCACAAACCAGCAAGGCTGTGAGCAGTCTAACTACCAGGTTGGAGTTGTAGGGCTGCTTCTGAGACAGAATGTCCCGACAGAGTTTGAACTTACACTGTGTATAACCAGGACTCAAACGTTTCTGTGTGGCACATTTCTTACACACTAGAGCTGACTGTTTTCTGGGGGTGAGGTTTGGGCTGAAACTTGCAATTGGGGTAGGGCAGACTGCTCACACAACACACCCCACCTGCCAACCCCGAAGGATAGTCAATAGTTGACCAGATAAGAACCTGCTCCGCACAGCACAACACACTGCAGTCTGACTATATTGTATAGTTACTGGACTTTCACCCCTCTCCTTCCTTCGGGATCACTGACAGTGCCACAACCTCGGGAATGGGCTCTGCTGGTTCTGCACAGAGGCCAATAAAGAAGACGCCATGGATCCTGGTGTGGGGTATATTGGGTCAGGGAGCATTTTGAGGGAGGGGTCAGCGGGTGAGATTATCATGGCAGGCGGGTGGGAAGAAAGGACAGCAATGCTATCTCTGGGTCAGGAAGTAGGCTTCATGGACAAGCTGAATGTGGAGTGAGCATGAGGATAAATAGAAAGGAAATGAGAGGAAGATGAGAGGTTAGATATCTGGAAATCTTCAGAAGAGGTTGGCCTGGTGGGCTATGGTAAGGGGCAAGTGACTGAAAATGTTTGGCCTTAATCTTTGTGACAAGCCCTTTGTGCTTATTCTTAGAGGTGAATATGGAAGAGGCGCAAGGAGTTAGGGAAGTCTGTGGTAATATTTGCATTCTAGGCTCACCCATGCTTTGGCAAAAAAAATGTGCTTTATTAAGAATGTATTCATCACATTACAAATAAGTTCTGACGTCTAAAATAGGAATTAAAAATCAGTGCTTCCATGGTGTTATCATTGACTCACCTTTACTTGTTCCAGCTGAGATGCTTTGACTGTTTGTTCTCTGTGTATGCCACAACGTGACAGCTACTGTCACAGCTGACCAAGCCAGGCACTGCCTTTATACTGAGCACGGAGATTAGCTGGAAGGTCATGTTTGCTACAATGTCAAAGCTGAGACCTGATGTTTATTACTTTTTACCCAAGAAAGGTAGATGGAGTTAGAACTGTAGTATGGAAAGAGGCCATTTGGTGCATTGTGTCCTGACCCAGTCGACTTAAGTATCCATCCAGCCTGATCCCGCTTGCCTGCATTTGATCCATAACTTTGTTGGTTTTGGCAGCTCCAAGTTTTTTTTTGTAAAATTTCATGAGGACATCTGTCTCTATAGCCCTTTCAAGAAACTTCAGGTCCCAACCATCATGAGATAATTTCCTCTCAATTCCCCTCTAAACCTCCCATCTTAAATTCCTGCCCTCCTTTTTTTTATGGACCCTCAACCAAAGACATCACCCTTCTCCACTCTTTCAAGAACCTTCATAATTGTTCCACCTTAATTAAGTATCTCCTTAGTCAACCTCTGTTCCAAAGAGAACAACCTGACAATCAGTATCAGCCATGATCCAAATCATTGGCAATAGAGACGTAGGGGATTAATTGTCTTTCTCCCATCCTATTGGTCATATGTTAGGATATTTCGCCTCTATGTACCCTGTGCATCATACCGCTCTGTGTTCAAAGTTGAGGTGCAATGCCGGAAGGAACTGCAGCATAAAAGAAACACGACTATTTTCATTTTTCACCGCAATGCTGTTTTGCAGATAAAAATAAAGGTGACTTTTATGGAAGACCAGCATTTGATTTATTAAACTTGAAATGTTACATTTCCAACCGAGTGTTCACTCATCTATATGATAAGAGCGTTTCCAGGGGGATTGATGGACTGGTGGCAGCCGACATTGACAGAAAAATAGCTATTATCAAAATACTTTTCAGCAGTTACTGTATTTGTAAATATCACAGAAAGTGACAGCCCAAAGAGAACATGAGAGGATTTATCCGCAATCCTGGATTGTTCCCTAACCAAATGGCGGTATGTCGTCACATGATTCCAAACAGTTAACAACATACAGACACAAAAGATGTATCACCCAGTGACCAATGACATTTTGAAGTTTTTGGTAAAATGATATTCACAGTGGGAAGTCTGAGATAATGAGGATGATATTCACAGTGTTTGTTTGTTTCAATCTCACATTAAGAAAGTTGCAGGGAATCCGGAGCAGTGGGACAGTGTTCACTTAAAACAACTGACGAGAAGGTATGGAAAGGATGGTGCTTAGTCCACTTATTCGAAACACCACTCCTTTTGCATGTTTTACACAAAGGCAAGATTATAACAATGACAGCTATGAAACCAACTAGCTTCTCATGTGTAAAGCACATTTGTAATCAACCTGTTCAGAGATGTTATGACATTTCTGCAGTAGATGGGACTTGAACCTGAGTCTCTCTGGCTCAGAGGCAGGGACACTATCACCGTGCTCCAACAGCCCAAGCACACTTGCAGGTATGCTCTAATCAACCTGTTCATAGATATTATTACCTGTTTCTGGAACAGGATATGAATTGAACCCAGGACTCCTGGCTCAGAGGTAGGGACACTACCACTGCACCCAAAGGGATCCCCCCATCTAGCACAGATGTATTCTTGTAACAAAATGATAATTTTAGAAATCAACAGTGGAGGCTGTCAGAAAAAAAAATTGCTTCGCATAACAGACCTCAGTAAGGCTAGTGTCTCAGCCTACGTAAACTACATAGTAAAAAGCACAACAATATCTACGAAAATATTTTTTAAAAAAATCAACTTTCTCTGCATCTGTACTAAGCCAAGCAAAATGAGGTTAGACAAACAGATTCTTAACTTCAGAGGCAATATTGTTAGGTTGATGGAATGGCAGCTGTTTCCAATGAATCTACACTTCCCCTAATCCAGAAACTAGCATTGGCTGGAAGACCACATTAGGCTAATAAAACGCTACTTCCTTTGGTGAAATGCATATGTTAAAATCCTTGCTGGCCTTTCTGGTGACTTGAAATGTCTAAACCAAATTCAAAACCTCAAACAAATGAACCTATTTGGGGAAAAACTTGTGAATGCCCAATGATGACTTTTGGTCTAACTAAAAATAGTTTGCTTCGGATTTAACGTCGCTTTGCTTACACAACTGCCATTATTACAAGTCATTATCTGAAGTGTTTTACTAAATCTCAAATCTACTAAATGCGTCCCTTCAAAATATTGGCGCTTTTAAGTATAAAATATGGGCCTCTATGAGGCAAGGTTTTGAAAACATTGATTATTAAAACACAAAGTCCGAACTTTGCCAAAAAACTAAATGGCTTGTGTGATAGAAACCATAAAATAATGCCTTAAGCAAATAATTCGCTTTGAATGTTATCAAGGTGTTTTAAATAGAATTTATTAAAAATGGTGGTAACCTATCAATCTGAATTGTTGGAACATATATGGTTCTCTAGTCCAGTCTTTCACCAGTATTTTCTTATTAGTTCTTCGAAAGCAATTAGCAATGAACTCAGTTCATAGAGACAGTGTGCTCATTATCCCAATTAGGATCAAATCAGCTAATGCTTTGAAACATTTCAGATCCATCCACTTCCAGCCTCATGGCCTTGATATTTGTGGAGCTTGTTGTATGACGGACGATGATAACTGTTGAACGAGGGTTGCGTACAGGAAAGTCAGCTGCAATTTTGTACTTCTTCGCATTGGGTTCAAATTGCCTCCTGAACCTCTAGATTAAATAGGCACCCTTAACTAAAATGGGGTTGACATTTCATTTTCTCCATGTTATCTATCCAACTGAGGCAATGAGCTAGGGCCACTCTTCTGCTATCCCTTCATGTTTCCTTCTTTGGACAGCAGTACGCCGTGTGATGTGCTATTTGATTTTTCATCAACCGTTTTGGCTTCAAAATCATTTTTCTTCAGTGTTCTTTTTTTTCAGATTTTTGATTCTTTTTCTGTATAAAAAAAAACGCCCTCGCACTTAATATCTTTACTAGCAACTGACACATGTTAAAGAACTCACAAAAATATTGTGCAAAATAGACCTGGTAAGCCATGGTTCTACCAGAAATCTACGCACATCTAAATCAGTTCTGTAATTGTCTTTGTAACTGAAACCATATTTTCTTAATATGAAGTTCATCTAAATACATTTGCAGTATAAAACTGCTGACAATAGATGTTTAAGCAAGGAGGCAGAGTTCTGCCATGCATAACTTATAATGTTCACATTTATGACTGCATAGTTCCCTTTTAGTTTCCAAAATGTCTGTAATGATTTGAACCCTGAAGTCAATATGGTGCAAAGAGAAATGGTGTATGTGTTGCCCTCAGAGGACCTGGAGTGGCTCTGAAGAAGGCTGGTCCGAGAAATGGTGTCTGGAAGAGTGTAGTCGGTCGAAGGGTAAGGTTTGGCATTGCACAGACAGCAGCTGCTGTTAGAGGATTTGGTAAGAAGCCAGCTGCCAATGGTTTTGTGAGGTGCTTCTGAAAAGCCATCTTTGTCTGTAGAAAGGAAACAAACAAATATGATTAAGACATCTCAACCATTCCTGCCAATACTGTAGCTAAATAGACCTGTAATGGCTAGTCCACATCAAGACTGTTCAAATAGTGATGTTTATTGATTTAATCTTGTCTAAGATATTTCACTGTTATCAATCATACTTTTCCCAATAGAAGTTTTTTCTGTAGACACTAGGGGAATCATGGGATACAGGGATAGGGCGAGAAGGCGGAATTGAGGTAGTAAGTCAGCCACGATTTTACTGAATGGAAGGGCAGTCTCAAGTAGTTTCTTGACCTGCTCCTGCTCCTGTTTCCTATGTTTTTTACTTCACAGAAGGAGGCCATTCAACTCATTGTATCTGTACTAGCTGCTTGCTTAAGTGAATCCGAAACACTGCCCAGCTCTCTCTCCAGAACTCTATATTTTCTTTCTATTTAAAATGACTTAACCACTTTTCCTTCAGAAAATGCTGTGGCCTCTGCCTGCACCATTCCCTGTGGCAAAGTATTTTATGCTCTAACAATTCTGTACAAAGCAATTTCTCCCAAACCCTTGACTCACTTCCCCAGTGACAATTTTAAATTGATAGCCCTTTGTCACTAAGTTGCTAACCACAGGCAATAGCATTTCCCTGTACAAATAAAGCAAAACCTTCATAATTTAAAAAAAACTGACAAATTTATTCCTAGCCTGTGCAGCTTTTGTGGAAACACCCTTAATATATCAATTAAGTCTCTCCTTAAAGGGTATTTGGTTTCCTAACGATATCTTGCTGACTTGAGTTTGCTATTGTTTGATAATAATAGTGTATAGGTGAAGCTGACTTTCTTTTCAACTTTACTTGTACTTTTCCTCCAACTTCAGTACTATTACTGTGCAATTTAAAATAATAAAAGAAAAAAAATGGGCTTCTTCTGTTAGAGCTCTTCCTTACGAGAAAATAACATCAGCAGTGTGTTTTTAGTATTGGAAGTTAGATCACCTTCAAATCAGTTATAATACGTATTTGCATTTGTATTTTGTATTTAGCTATTCAGTATACAATTCGCCCTTAGTTATCATTGTTTTATATCCAGTAACCTTGTAACAATAGCTTGTCTGTGAATATGAACATGAAAGGCAGCTTGTAGGATGAAGTATAGATTTGTGCTGCAGTTCTTTAGTTCATCCTTAACTCTAAGATTGCAACAGGAGGGGAAACTTGGTAATGTGAGAGCAGATTTATGTACATCATAAATAATGACCCCTTCAACGCAGAGATCATCTTGGTACAAGAGGATGAAGTCAGACAACATTTGCCTATTTAGAGATTAATTTTTAAATGACATTCTACAAGAGTTATATTCTAAATAAAGCAATTATCCTCTTCTGGGCATTGCTCATTACATGATGAATTGAAGCGTTGTTTTAATATTAACAAATGCACTTCTGCTTCTTTTCTCATATATTTTCAATTTGAAATTACATTTTTTTGTTGATTTGGTCTATAGAATCTCTAAATCTGAGTTTAATATTCCCTCAAGTGATTGCAGTTTAAACAGAATACTAAAACTGGGATAATTTCTAATGCTGGCCCATGGAAATCTTCATATTATAGATTATCATCGAAAATACAGCACCCACGTCATAGTTCCCATTACATAATGACTTAAAAAGAGTTGTGAGGAATAGTACTTAAAGTGCAGGAATGGCAAATAGCAAGACTGAATGCAGTGTTGCTTAATTTATTTTGTACAGCACAGTTCTACTTAAACCGTGAAATAATACTGTGGATGCTGGAAATTGACAACAAATAGAAAATGCTGGAGAATCTCAGCAAATCTGACAGCATTTGTATGTGAGAGAAACAGTTAATATTTTGAGCCTGATATGACTCTTCTTCAGAACAGTTCATAACTTCAGAATTCTGAACTTTTTCAGTTCTGAAGATATATTGGACTTGCAATGTTAACTCTGTTTCTCTCTCCGTGGACCTGTTGAGTTTCTCCTGCATTCTCTGTGTTTTATTCTACTTAAACCAATTGTTGGGCCTTCTTGATGACTAGGTACTCTTGTGACAACAAAAGGCATATGTTTATGTTTTTGTTTGTAACATGTTATGATATAACAAATTTTCAGGGACTGGGTTGCTCAGCATTCAGTATTTTGAGAAGGGCAGCCAAGTTGGAGTAATATGCTAAGAATGCATTGGTGCCTCTGTGAAAGAAGTAGTCAGCATGGTTAATAAACTATTCAGTTATTACTCAATCCTCCAAAGATGTCAATAAACAAACTCAGACTAGAGTGCTCACCGCCAACACTGCAGTCTGTTGAAGCTTGGTATAAGGACTGTATTTGGGCTTAGATGGTTTTCCTGTAAGTCTCTCCTTATGTCTTCTACTAGTCATATGCTGTATTGGGAATCAAGCAGACTTACAAATAAACAGAGTGCTTGAAAGAAAGAGATTATTCAGTCATTTTAGTGAAAGCACAATATTAACATTGTATTTTTATATTAGGTTAATATTGCTAGCTCTTTGTCTTCATGCAACTTTTATGTAACATTTGCCTTTCGCCATAACTTTTAACGTGGTAAAGACATCTGCTATAAAAGAGCAAGCCTCAAAATTACGTTACCTGTCTGATTTCACATTAACTGGGACATTAATGTGAAATTCTGTGGTAGTCATGATGGTGCAAATGTCATCAGTCACTCCTCAAAAGCTGACAACAATTTCTGGAATCTGCACATGTGCAGTCAAACACAGAAATCAAGTAGTTGCTGCCAGTGATTTTACACTTCCCCACAGGGTGTGCTGTTGAGAATGAAATCAGTGGAAAATCTATGAACTGGTGAGAACTTCTGCTTTAATACTGTTAGACTCATTATCATAACCCTCAAAAAAGTTGTGCTCTCTTGAAGGAGGTATGACTGCATTGTAAAAAAAAAAGTACATTAATAGTTACTTATAAACACTGTCTCTGGCCATGAGAGAACAATTTTATGTTTGTTCAACCAATCCAATAAACTTAGCAAGATTACCATTAATACACTTGCAAATATAGGGAAGGATTTCCTATTTTTGTAGGAAATATTAGCATGATGTCCACCCTGGGACATTCCAATGCATATCACCATTTCTTCGTTGTCTTTGAGTCAAAATCTTGGAACTCCCTGCTGAATGGCCTAGTGGGAGTTCTTTCACCTCATGGAGAGCAGTGATTCAAGAGGCAGGACCACCACCATCACCCCACGGCGAGAAAAGGATGGTAAATAAATGCCAGCCTTGCTGGCATCACCCAGATCCCAAACACAAATTGTTTTTAAACAATGATGCAAACTTGACCATCAAATCCCTTCTGTCATTAAATATCACAATATTAATGTGCAATAATAAAGCACATTCAATAACTTGTGAATTTGGGCTTGCTAATCCATAATTATTGCACATCGATTTTTCTTCCACATACTGGGACCAGTTAGCTGAGTTGGCTGGATGGTTAGTGTGCAGTTCTGATATACTGCCAAGAGCATGGGGGTTTAATTCTGGCTAAGGTAGCTCCACCTGCAACTGAATGGGAAGTGGTACTCTTCAAGCAATATAACCAAATGTCCCTCTCTAATACAAAATGAGATGCCTATAGTATCATGTTTTGGTTATATTTCATGAGAGAAAGTATCACAGCATCACAATGCCAGCACCCCCTGGATGATAATCATTAACAACTAAGCACTGAATCTTTTCTGGTACTCCATAACCTTTGTGCATCATTAGGAAGATTAAAAGCTCTGAAATTATTGCAAACAAACCATAAAAGGGAAAGAAGTCCAGACATATAATTTAACCAGGAACCGCCTTGGTCATTTATCATTGAAGTGTTTTGCTTCACTTCAAGGTGTTTGCAGGTTTTATGTCTCAGTAAAAGTTTAACACTCTAAATTGGAATCAGAATGATGATGAATTTCACTGGCTATCAGCTATGTGGAAACTGAAGGAAATACAGCTCATCTTTCTCTAACATTGAGATACCTTCCAGTAGAGCAGGTCTGAATCCAGAGACCAGCATTCAGTGATTTAGAGTACAGGCTGCTTGGTAGATGGTTGATATCTTCAACCATTGAAGTAGAACCAGGGTTAGAAGGTAAGATCAGCCTATATCTTGAGGCTTTACAGCTGTGGTGCTGTGTTACTGGGGGAATCCAGGTTGCTGTGCCACAACTGTTATAGTCTGGAGCTATGGATAGTGATGGTACAGACACCCTTTATCGATCACATGGCTGACCAGGAATAACCGCCTGTCATCACAAAGATTTATAGGTGCATTCCTTAGCTACTAACGTTTGGGATGGGGCTCACCATGGCTTTTCTGGCTCAGAGATATGATTGTTACCCATTGTATCATAAGACCTCCCTCTGTGCCTCACACTCTGCACAAATAAATCGTCAAGCTTACATTTTGGCCCAATTTATTAAACACAGCTAATGTGTATAAAAATTACCTCAACCCAACAATGAACATATTCCTAAAAATATATAGCTTTAGAGTAAATATTTACTGTGTCCCAGATGTGCTTATCCCTTGTAATTGCTTGCAAAAGACAGAAGAAGAAATTGACGGATGTAGGTGTCAAATTAAGCTGGTTTTCTTGTCAGCCTCTGTATATTTTGTTTGAAGGTTTCTGGTATGCACTGTCGAGTCACCCACTACAGTATATATAAGCCTGTTTGTACAGTGGTTTGCAAGCACATGCTGCGTTGAGTTAGTGATTGTGCAATTGTGCAATTTAGGGTCAGAGACAGTGAAGACATCCTTGCCATGGAGCAACAAGGTAGTGTTGCTGGAGTTAGTTGTCTGGGTGAAGGGATAAGATCAAAGTGTTTCAAGTGGTTAACAGCCCAGACGAAATGACAACATGTAGTGGTCCAATATTTTAAATGATTAACAGCAGCTTGAACATATTCCCTGGAATAAACCACCCTGAGGTGTTTTATTGGGAAGTTTGAGAAATGGAGCTGGAAAAGGGCGAGAATAGACAAGGGATGAGGGAGGTGGGAGGGGGGTTATCAAAGTTGGAGTGTTACTATTTGAATTGATTTTCCTTGAAGAAGTAGCGAGGCTGAGGAATTTAGAAAGAGAACTTCAGATCTGAGGGGCCATGCTTGTTAACCCTGGCTGTGTGTATTGGTTTTGTCACAAGACCTTCATTCCCCACCATCGATCGACCAGCCTTTCTCACATTTGGAATAACAAAAGTGTCCGCAGCATATGAATAAAAAAAACTACTTCTTTGAACACCGTTAAGATCTTCCTCCACCGGAGAGTGATCCGGTGATAAATGTTAAATTGTTCAGGGCTGACAAGTCCACTCCTGTCACCAGTGGAATCATTGTGGTGGGTCAGGGGGATGACACAAGCAGAAGAATAGAGGGAACATGTCCCATGTACTGGGTGACATTGCAATTGCTGCAAAGTCTTTATTTACACAAACAGCACGTGCTGAGATGCAGGACTGAGATCAGGCTGTGAGTGGAGAAAGAAACACTCACTGCACTAATGCTACATGCTTGGAATTAAGCAAAGCAGGTTCCATCTGCTTTCAGGAAGGCATAGATTAAAAGAGTTCTACTCCTGAGGCTGCTTGAGAAACAGCATTTACCTAGTCAATTGTTGAGTCTGATGTAAGTAATGAGATTCCTTGGATGAATGCACAAAGTAAAATTCAAGGTCTCAGCTTTTTAAATCCTGAGAGAAATACTTTTAACTTTAACTCACCTGTTTGAGTTGTGTTTCAGAGTTAACATATATCTCACAGATATTACAGTGAAAAGCCTTGCTCTGTAGACCAATGCTCCCTTTGTTACCAATGCGTTTAGTTTTGTACAAAGTCCGTGGGAAGAGTCTCAGTCTGCTTCTTCTGCTGTGACTGTTCTGTCCCTGCAGCATTGACTTATGCTTGGACCCTAAAAAATAAAACATCAAATAATTATATCGCAATTCATCAGGCTTAACACTGCTAATTTTAATGACAGCAAAACTGGCTACAAAAAGTTTTACAAATTGATCAAACAAAACTATTCACCTACTAGCCTTGTCAACAAATGTGTAGACTTAATAACAGTTTTTTTGATTTGATTTGATTTATTATTGCCACATGTACCTAGGTACAATGAAAAGTTTTGTTTTGCATGCAGTACAGGCTGATCATACCATACAAAGTGCATTAGGGTAATAGAACACAGCAAAGAACACAATGTTACATCTGCAGAAAAGGTGCACAGAGTTTGGTTTATAACTGCAGACAATTCATGATTTAAAAGTGAATTGCTTCCAAAATGTACTGGGAGACCTTGATATCTTGCTGTCTGTGATTTTAGTAGTGTTATGGTTCTCATTTCAAAAAAGTTGGAAATGTTCCTACGTTATGCATTAACGATCAGAGATTTTACAAGAAAGCCAAATAAGGGACAGTTGTACAGTTCCACAATACGACATGGTGGGATGGTTGTTAATTTTTAAAAATTTAATGTTAATTGTATTGTTGATATTAGGGATAAATGGGCAGTAGTTATTGATTAAGTATCTTGAGCATATGTAAAGACTGCTGGGACGCTGAAATGTGAATGTTGGAAATCTGAAATAAAGCTGGAAAGTGCTGGAGAAACTCAGCAGGTCTGGCCGCATCTGTGGACAGAGAAACAGAGTTAACATTTCTCTTCTCTTTTTCAGAACCCTTGCTAGGACACTTGTATGGTAGATAGATGGCAGAGATATGTAATACGACATTCTGCAAATAAAGATGTTATAAAGAAAATGATTTATGTCTAGCTTCAGACTTTATAACCTAGCCCGCTAAATCATCCACTCCAACTTCTGTGGAAAATCTTGGGGAGAGTGTGAACAGGATGCCACCGAGTAGTTACATCAGCTAATCGGGTGAATTGGGCAATTCCGCTTACAGTAACCAGAATAATTGATGACCGATTGGCTGTAAAGCACCCTGGGATATTCTCAGTCAGGATATTTGTTTTATTTCCCATACTAGACAAGCAAGAAATTCTTACTTCCAATAACAGTGGACAAACTGTGCAGCAGAACTTGGGAGCACTGCACTGTTTGAGGTGCCACCTTTTGAAGAGATGTTAGTCTGAGGCCACGTCTACTTTCTCTAGCAGATGTAAAATATCCCTGCTTTGAGCTATTTTCAAGAAAAGCAGGAGAACTTTTCCCAGTGTCCTGACTAATATTCTTCAGTCAACATAAAAACAGATTGTCTGGTCATTATCACTATGCTGTTTGTGAGAGCTAGTCAACACATAAATTGTTTCACTGTGTTATATGTTTCCTGCATTACAGCAGTGACTATAATTCAGAGATACCTTGTTGGTTGTAAAGTACTTTGAGACATCACGAGGTTGGGAAAAGCATTTTATCTTTGTTTCCTTTATGTCTGCTTTAGTGGAACCGCCCAGCTCCCAGCTTTGGCACAACATTTAACAACACAGTTACTTTGGAGTCAATGGAAGTTATGCTCTAACTTCTGAGTAGAAATACTTCCACAAGGGTGACCTGCCCTCTACTCTAATGAATGGAATGGACTCTCCTTGATCTCTATATACTGCGCACAATAGTTCCAAATTTCTCTCAACTTGCTTCTAACTATGGCAAAGAAAGGGAACAGTGTAAAGATGATAGAATCAAGACTCTAGTTCATAATTGAAGAGGTTCTTCGGATCAAGGCCTGTCAGGAGTATACCAAATCAACATTAATTCATTCTGCAGCTCTGGTTCTATGTTTAAGATCTCATGCTCTTTTTTGTGAATTGGATACTTCAGGTAGTTTTTACAGGTGCCAATTATTAGCCATTCAGAGAAATTGTGAATTTTGGCTCAATGTAAGTAGGTGTTTTAGAAAGTTGCTCAAAGGATGGAATTTATATTCACAATCTATATGGCTGGAGCCGCTAATTGACTAACTTGCTTTGTTTAATTTTTGCAGCTTTTCATCCTTATCACTTCTGTCATTAGAGCAATGACTCATTTTCCATCAAAGTGGTTCACTCGGTTTCTCCTTTCACAGATAGTGCCTGACCCACTGAGTGTCACCAGCACTTTCTTTTTTACTTAATTTATTCTCTGTCATGATTCCATGGGAAATGGGGGTATTTTGCCAAGGAATGAATCCATTGTCACCTATCACATCAATTTGACAAAAACTTAAGTAAAAATACAGTTGGCACACTATTTGTAAGGTAAACTGCATAGTAGCGTAGCTATTTTAAACATCTTCGTTTCTTGATTAAATAATTTCATTAAATTCACAATCCACTCCACAGGACACTGTTAAGGTTCTCCTCCACAGACGTCTCTTAGAGATGAAGACCAGGATGACTACTATGCATGGAACATACTTTGGGCAGAATAGTACGGGGCCAGGATGTCCCTTCAGCTTGGCAGGTGGCTAAATTAATGCAGAGTAGGACTTCTGCCCGTCAGTAGGGAGGATGTCCCAGCTAATCTGATTAGCCGGCAACTCCAGCAGCCCAGGCAGTGCTGGAGCTCCCTAGTGGACATTGCTGGGATTGCAGGCAAAACCCATGAAAGAGATCCTATGGATTCCAGGGTAAAGTGAGCCAGAGGGGACAGGGGTGGTGCAAGGATTTTTCATTACATTAGCAACAGGCATGTGAGGAGGATAGAGGGGTTGGATTTAACGTATGTACGGGGATGCCTCCAAACGACAAAGGGCACCCCCTGAAGATACCACACACTTAATTCCTGTCATTTTAAACACATTTTTAAAAGAAATGGAATCCAGTGTTATGGTGTAGGCAAGGTAATTTAACAAGCTCAATGGACCCTTAATGATTTGCTCAGCTACAAAAGGCTATTAAGGTGCATTGGTAGTGCCCCTACCTCTGGGCCAGGAGGCCTCAGTTCAAGTCCCAATTGCTCCAGAAGTGGGTAATAACAACACTGAACAAGTTGATCCAAAGAACTTCATTCAGACATGGCGGATGGTCATTTGATTTCGGTGTCTGCCCACTCTATTATTGAGCTGAGTTTGGTGGTTGGGGGTGGGGGTGGGGCGAGACAGGTCGGAAGTTGCTGGCAAAGCCACCTGCTGAATATTACATGCTTCTGCCAAAAGCACACCCTGGGGGGGGCATGTAATATTCCGCCCCTGAGGGGGCATGTAATATTCAGCCACTGAGGGTGGTTCGTGTGTGGAATGAGCTGCCAGAGGAAGCTGTAGACGCAGGTACAGATAAAACATTTAAAAGACATTTGGACAGGCACATGAATTGGAAAGGTTTAGAGGGATATGGGCCAAATGCAGGCAAGTAGTTTAGTTTGGGAACATAGTTGGCATGGATGAGTTGGACCGAAGGGTCTGTTTCTGCGCTGTATGACCTTGCAGTAGACTTTGCCTACTTTTATTGTCGTCTACGTGGCCCATTTCCACAGACCACAAGCAGTGGGGTCACTTACCATTGTTGTGCGCCTCGAGCTGTGATGTGGAGTTCACTGTCACTTTGCAAACTGCACAGTAAAGCTGCTGTTTCATTTTCTCTCCGTCCTTCTCACTTTCAGGCGCTGAGCTAACACTGTCGGTGCCCTCACTTCGAACGATCTCTGCAGTGTGCATGACTGAGGTTGCAATGTCATTTTCCGACCTGCCATTCGTAGCTTCTGAGCAGGAAAACGTGGCGGACATCTTGCTGCTAGCATTTTCCACCAGAAATACTTTTGATACTTGGACCAGTGAGGTAGAATTACCTTTTGTTTTCTCATCCGTTGGTGTGGTTGGACAATCCTCTGTAAATCAAATAAAGAACACAACAGATTGAAAAAGTATATCCTTTTACATGTATCTATATTTTTGACAGAGACGAAGATGTGGATAAACTTAAATTGGATTACTTTCACCTATTCAGTCGATTAATGGAAAATGGCTTGATTTAATTTAATCTGCCTCTCTCTTGTCTATATTATTGTGAAACATGGTATGCGATTCTTTTGTCTTATTATGGAATCTTGTCTTCTACATTGTGATTCTCAGCACTGTTAATGTAGAAAAGTAAATTAACTGGAAGAGATAGGTTCTTCAGAAGGTAAATGTCATTCAGACTTCAAAATGCTACAAATTCAATATTGCACCGCAGATTGTAAAGTCAGCATCTTCCATTAAAAGCAAGTATTCAAACTGAAATTACAAGTCGCAATTTTAGCACTGGTGAGACATGGAATCCATATTAAAATTCTGAAATTCAAAAGCTTAAATCTAATATCTCTGTTATTATTGTCTTTGCTGCTCTAACAAGCTTTAAATAAACTGTGGATTGATGGCATCAAGAGCACACACTCCTCCTGGCCCGTTCAAATCAGAACATTATTGAATAATACAGAATTCACCAGGAAAACTGGTGAAGATAAGTGGTCTTCGTGCTGGTATAGGGCTATCGGAGATTGAAAAATAAGGTGCCTTGGGCTGTAGGTTTCTGATTTCCCCAAGAGCTAGCTTTGTAAAACCTGATATGTTGGAGCTGAAACTGGGAAGTCTAGCTTTATTGTCCTTTGTAAGTTAAGCTTTAGCAACATTTTTATTATTTTGTTTGAATGTTGGGCACTATTGTCTTCATCATCGTCCACATCTAAGTTGTTCTATTCTGAGGTAGGTAGTCCAAATTTGGGTCTTCCCCCCCTGATTAATACTGCTCCTTTTGGTTTGTATTGGTTTTGAGGTGAGAGAGAAGGTGGAATCCCTTTGAAGATTCAGAACGTGAGGCATAACAGAACCAGAGGAGCATGTGACGAGGCCCCAAAATTCAAGTGGGAATAAACCCTCAGATATTTTGACAACATCTGTTGCTACCCATTTATGTGCATTGGGAATTCACAAAACTTGGCACCTGCTTGGAAGGAGGTCTTGTTGTGCAGTGTGTAGTATTCCTTCCTCTAAACCAGAGGCCCTTGTTCAAGTCCCACTCCAGGACTAGATAGCTATGGAATGTATGTTCATTGTGGGACAAATAGGCTGATGGTCAACCTGAAAATACCTCTGATGTGAGGATGGTTAGCCATTTCAGGAGAAGCGAGCTCAGGAAACAGATGTAATTGTGTGCTACATCTGCCTCATGTCTGTAGACACAGGAAGCTTCCAATTCTATGTGTTTCTGGCACACTGGACGCTGGATTTTGTAACCATAATTTTACTTTTTTTTCGGGGGGAGGGAGTGGAAATGATAGTCAATAAAGAGTTCACAAATAATTTGAATTTTGTAACTTTTAATACATTCAGAATTGCTGAAAAATGACAAACTTTATTGCAGCTCAGAGATAGCAAGAACTGCAGATGCTGGAGTCAGAGATAACACAGAGTGGAGCTGGAGGAACACAGCAGGCCAGGCAGCATCAGAGGAGCTCAATGCCTTGCACTCATCAGGAGTATTCTCAAGAATTATTCAAATAAAGGGAAAACAACAGTTCTACAGTGTGAGAAGAGAGTGCTGATTGGTTGGCGACTAGCCTCTGACTGATTGAGCTATTGCCATGGCAACCAGAGTCCACTTGCTACCAATTAACACTCTCCTCTCACACAGTATAATTCGTGTTTCCCCTATATTTAAGTATTTTTTGAGAATTGTCCTGATGAGTGCAAAGTGTAAAGCTTCACCAAAAGTATCTTTTCTCGGCAATACTAAAGTTGTGTGTTACCATTTTCATCTTAATGAGGGGAAATCTACGTTGACATTATTGCTCGTGCTCTCTCACTCACATTTGCGTTGTGGACCTGCTGTAATGTTCAAGCGTTGCCCAACACAGGCCTGAGGAACAGCACCTCATTTCCCTTTACGCACTTTACAGCCTACAGGATTCAATATTGAGTTCAACAGCTTCAGACCATGAACTCTGTCACCCATTTCGATTTTTCCCCTCCCTCCCCAGTGTCTGCATCTTGTTTGTCACAGTTTTGCTTTTCAGTCACAGCATGACTTTATTGATATTAGCACCTACGCCAATGTCTTCTCCAGAATCATTAGTACTCTCTTCATTTTTTATTCTGTGATTCCTTTAATCTTCAATCTTGATTAACCCTACCCTCTGTTCCACTTGTCCATCTGCCTTTTTCAACAGCATAGAAGTCAATGACTTTTCAAACAAAAAAACAGAGATTGCTGGAGAAACTCAGCAGGTCTCACAGCATCTATGTAGATGCCCTTGACTACCCCTCATCATCCACACAAATAACCATTTTTTCCCAGCTGCTTTCAGTTCTGAAGAAGGATCACTGAACTCAAACTATTAACTCTGTTTTCTCTTCATCGATACTGCTGGACCTGTTGAGTTTCTCCAGCAATTTCTGTTTATTGTATGTTTCAGCAGCCACAGCTTTGTTTTGTTTTAGTGTTTAATTCAGTAACTTTTCCACCTCTCTTCAGTTTTGAAGAGGAGTCAGATTGGATTCGAAACATGAACTCTATTCCTCTCTCTCTCCACAGAGGCTGCCAGACCTGCCGAGTTTCTTATTCATTTTGTTTAATCCTTTTCCTTTTCTGCTTATTCCTTGCTGTCATTTTCACTGTTTAGTTAATATTTGTGAATCACTTATGAATCTTCTCATGAATAACCAGTGATTGGTACATGATTCTGATTTTAAAACTGCTTTTTCCAGTCGTGTTTCAGCCATATGAAAACTTGCCAGAGAGGGATGAAACATGAAAGTCTTGGTGATAGGGGTGAAACAAAAAAAAATCTATTATCCCTAAAACCTTTAAACAGCCTCAAATTACATGTTGTGGTGCTTTCTTTGCTGAAGTATTTCAACAAAGATTCAGAAAATACAAGAATGTTTACCTGGTCTTATAACAGACAATGCAGACAATTTATTTTTTGGTACCTCAAACAACATGTAAATTTCCTTTTCAATTTTGATGCACATTGCCAGGCCAATTTCATATCAGGTATGATGTTACACATTGCTCCATGGAGATAAATGCTCTCTGCAATTACGCGCAAACTATCTCGAGTATGTTGATGTGCAATAAAAATATTAAATATCTAAAATCTATGGGTCTGATTGCGATGTTTCCTCTCAAAGGGAGCAGCTTACAGCTATCTGTGGTGGGTACAGGAACAATTAATGGATTAAGCAATCGTATTTCCCCCCCACCTGCCATTCTGAACACCACTACAAAGTTAAAACCAGTGATCTTTCAAGCTATCAAAAAGGTACGTATTTGCATGCAGATTTTGTGCAGCTTGATGTATTTTAAAAGGACTAAATGTAACATTAAATTGACTACTTAGGACATCACAATTTTCAAATAGATCTGGCACATAATGTGCAACAGAAGCCTGTTTCTAAGCAAATGGAAAGGGTTTTTAAACATCTATTATGGCCCTGGCAGGAACGACAAATAACATTGCAATTGTGATGTTCATCCTGCTGCACATGGAATGCACTGTGGCTGTCGCCACCCCGCCAACCCCTCCCACCCCCCCACCCCGCCACCTTTATTTTAGCCTTTCTTGGGTATGCAGACAATGGAAAGGATTTAAAGGGGACATTATTATGTCTAAAAGCCACACATCAGGAGATTTGCTGCATATTCACTATTTACCCATGGCAATACTCAAAAGACTCCATATTATCCAGAGCAAAAGTCTACTTCATCAGTGCTTTGCCACTGCACTCAATGTCTGATCCATTTACAAACTTAACCTGCACTGTGTACAATTAGGATGCAATACAGCAAGTCACATACAATATGTCAATAGCTACTCGCTCTTCTGCAATCTCTGGCATCAAAAAGAACAACAGCAATAACAGTTTGGGGTCACCTCCAAATGCTCCTTCAAATCAAACACTGCCCTTTGGTCAGATGGATCCACTTCTTGTTGTCAGTGGTTCAAATTCGCTGTAAACCTGCACAAGCTGCCATTAGCTGTCTTTTCTTGATTTAATATCAGCAAATTCATTCATGTTATAGCTCATGTAATGTTTAGCAGCAGAATGTAATGTTTACCATCTCAAAACACTGCACCTTCTTGTTGTCTTATAGAACACAGAAGCATAACAAATAGCAACAAGAAGTATAGCTGAAACTTCTTTTTAGAACCTGTCACAGGTTAAGCCATGCTAAATCAATAATTGGCTTTCCTCTACATCCACACATGTTTTTAAAATTCATTGTTGACGCACAGGCTGAACTCTAACTGTCTCCTTGTACTCAGGATTTATTTATGTTTATTCAGTCCATCATTTTGTTGCTCTTGTTCTACCTATTCCTGCCAGAGATTTTTACCTTATTCACTAGTTCAATACAATTAAAGACAGGCAGGAAGAAATGCAATTTGTTTGTGTTTCAGAGGGAAGTGCTGTTGGACAGACTTGAGCCTTTAAAAAAGGTTCTTTCAGGGAAGTGCATGTATCTTCTGGATAATGCACAGAATGCTGTACCAGCTTCTTTCTAAACAGAATAATGAGTATAAACCTACAGCTAGTAAGTGTCACCAATTTTAAATTTATAGAGCTATACTTCTTAAAATAACGTGAATAAACATGGTAAATCCGTGTTTTGGTTTGCACTCAAATTACAATTGAAATTCAATTTAAGCTTTGGTGCAAAGGTTGGTGGCATGTTGGTCACCAATCATACATGCCAGCCAGTATTCAATTTCAATGGATGGGATAATGAATGGAATTAAAAAAAGGAACTGCTGATGCTGGAAATCAAACACAAGAACAGAAATTGCTGGAAAAACTCAGTAGGTCTGGCAATATCTGCGGAGAGAAAGCGGAGGTAGCACTTTGGGTCCAGTGACACTTCTTCAGAACTGATAGGGAATGGGGTATATATCGATGATATGCCTTTTTTGGGACAGTGGTAGTCACCCTACCTCTGAGCCTGGAGCCTCAGGTTTAAGACCTACCTGCTCTGGAGAAATAAACTTGCACAGCTGTCTGACCCAGCAGTGAACGTGCATAGCTGACTGCTTCTGTTGTTTATTTTCAAGAATCTAAAAGCCATCTGGATGGGTACATGAATAGGAACGGTTTAGAGGGATATGGGCCAAATGCTGGCACATGGGACTAGATTAATTTAGGGTACTCGGTCGGCATGGATGAGTTGGACCGAAGGGTCTGTTTTCCATGTCGTACAGCTCTATGACTCTACCTCCCTGAACAAACCCATCAGGTTTAGTGACTGTAGCAAAGATCACACTGCCTGTTCTGTGATTTCACCATCAATTCTCTTTTCCAATGAATGAAAATTCCAATCAGAGCTCGCGTGTATTTTGGATTGTCTCAATGGGGGTGAATTTTTATGTCCAGACATAGGTCACCGTCCTGACCTCATCACACCAGTCTTTGATATACCCCAGTCAGGGAGATGCCAAAATCAGCCGCTCGCTTGCCATCTTTTAAAAAAAAGTTGCGCCTGTTGACACATCAATCGGCTGCAATTTTACATCACACTCTAGGGGTGCTAAGAACAGTCAGGAGAGACTTTTCCACCAGCTAAATGAGGTAATGCAAGGGTGGTAAAAGCTCGACTCAGGAACGATGGTTAGCAGACTCTGATGGAGAAGGTGGCAGAGTTTGATTATCTTTAAACATGTTCCTAAAAAAAAAACTTTGCACCTTCAAACAAATGATAAAGGCTGATACTGAGAGCAAGGGAGACTTCACAGCTGACACCACCATGACATTAGCTCTCTGCACTGGCCTGCAGTACTGAATCTCAGAACCATCACACATGAGGGTAGCTGCAACAATGACTTAACACTATATTACTTGTTGCATTATCAGGAGGCATCAGAGCTTATTATGGAGTGACATTTGAAAACTGGCTTAAGAAACAGACTCTGATAAACGCTGCAAACTTGGAAAAGAACAGAGGGAAAAGTGAGACAACAAGGTGCAGGGCTGGATGAACACAGCAGGCCAAGCAGCATCATCGCAAGCTTGCTGCACAGTTATAACTGGCCAGTTTCACACTCGGTAGCTGCTAATATTTTTGGAAAATAAACTATTAAATGATTAAAACAGTTCCTGGTGGGGCACTGTAACTGGAAAAAGAAGATCAGGACAGTGATGGAAATCGATAGAACGACAAAAGGAAGTTAACAAATTTAAATTATAATGTCATTTCCAGGGGTGGTGATGGACCCCAGCTCCTGTGGTCTGGGTCTGCTAAGTGGCAGCAACACATTTATTCGGTGCAGACAGAAGGCAGGAGCTAATGGGCCGAGCCCTTCCATGTCAGCCCTCTGCTGAGAAACATAATGTTCACCTCGACATGTCCAGTTGTGGTTGAAAGAAATTGTGCCATAAATTATTTTACACACAAAACTACAGTAATGGATATTTCTGATGTGATATCAAACCCAGTATCTGGATAACAAACAAGAAATTTCCATAGGATCACTTCTTAAGCTAGAAATTCATTGGAGTTGCTATAACCTCATTTGTGGCAAAGTCACTTGTGTAATGCCACAATAGATCATCCATTCCTAACTAATTTATCATAATCCAGTGAATTCTTTACATTATGAGAGGGAACTGGAATTATCTGCGGTGATACTGGGACTGCCAATTGGATATTGGATATCAATTGATTGACGGAACTATCAAACTGATCAGTGTTGGTAAATTTCTGAGACTCTACTGTGGCTGACCAGTATTTTCAGCATCTACAATAACTTACTTATTAGAAACAGTGAACAGAGTCACTCACATATTGTAGTGAGTAAACTCCAACCATCATACTGGTCCAGGTACTGACCTCGTGGGTATCTGCAGCATATCATTAACCAGCAAGCTATCTTGCCAGTTGTGCTTCATTGTGGATCACATGGACTGGAAACACCGAAGCATACAAATGTAGAAAATAGGAGCAGAAGCAGGCCATTCGGCTCAGAAGGCTCGCTCCACCAATTGATATGATCATGTCGATCCTCTGTCTCAATGCTCTCCTGCTCTCTCCCCACCTTCCCTGGTACCTTCAGTGTCCAGAAATGTATCTATTCATCTTCATCTGGAGACAGAGGGTACCGTCCATTCTTCCACATGAGCACACCTTCACTTGCATTCAGCAACATGAGAATAGGAGCCAGAGGATTCCTTTAGTTAGTTTTAAGCAAAAACACCTGACATCTTTAGTATACAGTTTTGCACAGGATCAGAGTTATACTGCGATGCCCAACAATTGTGAAACAAGGTACTAAGTGGTGGTCTCACACCTCTTGCTTTACATTGATTGCCAAAGTGACAGCTTCGTGATGATGTGCCCCATGATTCAGTGATACGGTGATATGGCAACCCTGTGGTAACGGTGACAATTTACAAGGTGAGTGCCATGTTGTTGGTAAACACTGGGAAAGCAACAGACACAGGCCCTGTTAAAGTGAAACTTCTGTTGACTATTTTGCTGCTTTTAACATCGAAGTTACATGAAACTTGTTGCTTTGAACAATTTGTTAAATTTCAATGATTAGGTAAAAGATGCATCAAAGTCTGCTGTTACTAACAGAATTGGGGTCATTAACCTGTTTTCTCTGCATCGCTCATGGTATCGTCTGGGTTGTGAACCGATTGCATCATGTCATCATCCTTGGCTGCTGTGGCTTTCTGCTTATTTTTCAGGGCCTCCAGAGCTTTGAGCTTTCGGGCGTGTTTATGACCCTTGTAGTGTGCCTCAGCCTGGTTCTACAAAGTAAAAGAAATGAACCATTCAGTTAAGATCAAAATAACTTGATCACAATCTTTTCTTTTGTGATTCAATATTGTTTAAAGAACACAAATTGTGTCATTATTCAAACACCATTCAGGTTGTTGCTTGGCCAATTTATGTATTGGTTTGCAATAGAAAGGGAAACATCAAATACCACCTGCGAGTTCCCCTCCAAGTCACACATTGTCCTGACTTAGAATCATAGAATCCCTACCGTGTGGAAGCAGGTCATTCGGCCCATCGAATCCACACCGACCCTCTGAAGAGCATCCCATCCATATCTGCCCACCTACCCTATCCCTATATCCCTGCATTTCCCATGGTTAATCCACCTAGCCTGTACGTCCCTGGACAGTATGGGACAATTTAGCATGGCCAATCCACCTACCCTGCACATCTTTAGACTGTGGGAGGAAACCGGAGAACCTGAAGGAAACCCGCATAGACACAGGGAGAATGTGCAAACTCCACACAGACAGTCACCTGAGACTGAAATCGAACCTGGGTCCCAGGTGCTGTGAGGTAGCAGTGCTAACCACTTGAAACCACTGACTTGGAACTACATCCATGCATCTTCTCTTTAGCTGGGTCAAAATCTTGGAACTCACTCTCTAATGGCACTGTGGGTGTACCTACACCTATATCGACAGCAGTGTTTCAACAAGATAGCTCAATACCACCTTCTCAAGAGCAACGAGAGATTAATCAAAAGCAGCTGGCATTAACAGCAATGCTTAAGTCCAGAAATGAATAAAAAATAATATATTACTCAGTGTTTTACAGAGCTCAATTATGAACACTTACCATGCTCACCAATTCACTTTAATAAGGTCCTCAGGATAATACTGAAAATGGACACAACAAACACTTCTTTTCTCCACATTAATGTCTTTTCCATGGACCTCAAATTTCCTGAGTTCATTTGGGCTCCATTTCACTTAAGAGATAAATAATTAAGTGCTACCTGGCTTAAAGGCGGCATTATCAGTGGGACTTTTCTTCATTTATGACATACTTCATTAAAAATGATTATCAATTCATTTCCATATTGCAGGTTGAGACAAGGGCCATGATACTATTATAGATTATTGCAAGAAACGAATTACAAGCCTTGAGTTCTCGAGCCTTAGTGTGGGATATCTATTTCACCCGGACAGAATACAATTTAACTCCTTTGTTCTTTTTGCTCCATAAATAAGCTGCTCCTATTTGTTGACACGCAATCTCTCACTCAAATCCTGAAGCTGGAAGATGAAAAACATTGCGGACCTATCAGCAGACTTGCTTTGATCTGGACCCTAATTAGACAGATACCCTCAGGATACACAGCATATCCTCAATGGCTTCTTTCAGAAACTCAAGCACCTTTTGTAAAAAATGCACCCAATGTGGGACATTCTGCAAGGACAATAGCCCTCTTTCTCTCCAGTCTTTTGCTACTATTTTTAAAAACAGTGACAAAGGATTCAGATGCATTTTGACAACTTGTTTGTTTCCTTCCGTCGCCACACTCATGCCCAGCAGAACTCGACAGAATTAACTAAAGTTTAAAAGTGGAAGCTCTTAAAATAAACAGTTGCCAATGCACAGCAGCTGGTGGCCCGGATCTCAAATCCCTTGAAGGAACGACTAACTTCAATTCCATCTTCACTTGTCCACATAGCCTGCTTTGTTACACGTTTTGGCATTTTTCATTATGGTAGAACTTATTACAGACAGCAGTAATATAACAAATTAGCCAACTGATCATCTTTTCCTTTGAGGAGGATTTCAGGATATTCAAAATGTAAAGAGAAAACCATCAACAATGCTCATCAAGATAAAGAACATGATGAATGTTGATAAGACTTACCATTTAACAATGATAAAATGAAGTTAACGTAGAAAATAGGTTGCAATTCTTTCTTCCTAGGCATTGAACTTGGATGGGGGAGTGAGGGTGGCAATAAAAAGGTGAAGCTGGTTATGCCCTACAGGGTGAGAGAGGCTGTAGTGAGTTGGCAGATGATATTTCACCACATCAGTCTTTATTGATTAGGAAAACATCATTCCAAAACCAAGTGAAGAGGACAGCAAGACCGGGAAACAAGTGGAAAGTCCGAACTCTCCTGTTGACTTCAGTGGAGAGCGGATCAGCTGTGGTGAAAGCTATTTTGCTTTTATTATCGCTGTGGCGAGACATTGGCTGATGATTGGCTGGCAGAGAACAATTTCAGGCCGAAAACCTTGGATGGGACATTCTTACTTCAGAAAACATTCGAGAGCAGGCCTGGCTGATGAGGTTCAGAGAAAGAAAAATTGGTCGCTAAGTGTGGATATTTTCTAATTGACCGTTTCAGCGATGTTATGACTCACGTCTGAAGCAAGTGGGACTTGAACCCAGACCGCCTGGCCCAGAGTTAAGGACACTATTAGAGGGTGCAGATAGTAATCTTGAATGAAAGTGGTCAGCCTCTGGGTTCATTCTATGGCAAGGATGGCACCAAATCAAACAATGTGGAGAGTATGAGAACACACAAAAGTACTCTTCCATGTTTGATCCAAGTACTCTCAGTGTGGGTGCTGTGCTGTCGATGACTGAGTGAAGCATTCACTGTTTGCAGTTTTGGAAGAGCAACCCTTACTCGGCTGTACATTATTGGAAACCTTGATCCAGCTCAACTGAGTGACACATGTTGGGCTGTGTTTTCCTGGTCTTGTGGTGGCAATTTGAGGTTGGGAGGAGAGCAGTTAGCAGCTCCTCAACACGTTCCTGCTATGGAGACAGGCTGGGAGGTTGTCTTCCAGAGCTGGACTCTTCACGCAGCAACAAGCCATCTAAATTAGTGAAGGGGCAGCAACCGTGGCAGAGTCTGATCCAGCGGCAGGGCATCCCTCTCTAGTCTGCTTCACCTACAGGTCTACACCTTGGTTATTTAAGTACTGGTGACCAGCACAGGCATGTGGAGCTGTGCTCAGGATTACCTATCTGATTCAGCAGTGTCTGTCTCCTTAATAATACGAGCATAGAACGGGACAATTAGGAAATCACCACGTGGAAGGATGTAACATGGGCTTTGTTGCTGGTAAGTGTTAGTTAGGGACTCATCCCTGAAGTCTACTGGAAAAGTCTGTCCATTGATCCAGTGAGTGTGAATTAATCAAAACCCAGCTAAAGTGGATAAGTCATTTATATAGCTAGGGACATATTCATCCAGCTAGAATCAGTGAGATATTTTCCTCATTAGTATTGGTGATGGCTTAGTGGTATATCACAAGACTATTAATCCAGAAACTCAGCTAATGTTCTGGGGACCTGGGTTTCAATCTTACGCTGGCAGATGGTGGAATTTGAATTCAATTAAAAAGGAAATTTGGGATTCAGAACTTACTGATAACCATGAAACCATTGCCAATTGTCAGAAAAAACTCATCTGGCTCACTGATGTCCTTCAGGGAAGGAAATTAGCCATCCTCATCTGGTCTGGTCTACATGTGACTCCAGACCCACAGCAATGTGGTTGACTCCCAACTGCCTTCTGAAATGGTCTAGCAAGCCACTCAGTTCAAAGGCAGCTAGGGGCGGGCAATAAATGTTGGCCAGCCAGTGAACCACATGCCACAAGTGAATTTAAAATAAAAACGACCAGAGAATTCTTCACCCACACCAACTATAAGGTGGGATCTTGTTGATCTTCTAGAGGATCTTGCCTGCCAGCTGGACAGCCAATGAGAAACTCATGCTGCCTCTTTGGGGGAAGGTCCTCCTGGATCACAGGCCATCAGGCAGTGGTGAGGCTACCAGCCTCTCCTTTCCCAGGAATAAAGACTCTGGAGACAGATGTCATCCAGCAAGAGCTGCTGGACAATCAGAGACTGGTAGCTCTGAGGCTTGGTGGCATCCTGGAGAAGGGCACATTAGCATCCTGGAGAAGGGCACATTGGCATCCTGGAGAAGGGCACATTAGCATCCTGGAGAAGGGCACATTGGCATCCTGGAGAAGGGCACATTAGCATCCTGGAGAAGAGCACATTTGCTATGAGAGGAGCACCCCCTCCAGGATCATTGAAGATGCAGGACAAGGCAAGTAAGGCCAAGGAGACTGCTGAGTAGCGAGTGATGGGGAGAAGGGACAGACAGTTAGAATGAAAGGAGACTTTACTGAAACATACAGAATTCTTAGGGTACTTGACAGGGTAGATGTGGAAAGGTTGTTTCCCCTTGTGGGAGAGTCTAGGACCAGGGACATAATCTCAGAATAAGGGGCACCCATTGAAGACAGAGATGAGGAGGAATTTCTTCTCTCAGAGGGTTGTGAATTGCGGAATTATTTACCACAGAGGGCTGTCAATGCTGATTTAGGTATATTTTCAATCAGTAAGGGAAACAGGGGTGATGAGGAAAAGGCAGAAAGTAGAATTGTGGATTATCAGATTAACCATTGAATGGTGGAGCAAACTCGATGGGCTGAATGGCCCACAGTCCTATGAATATACTGCTTCCCTCCTGCATTAACTGCTCTTCCCAAGTCCTTTTGGAGCAGAGGATTCTGCTTTGGGTTCCAATCCCTGCACAAGATAGCATGCCAGTTTCCTCTTGGGCTTGTGAATTTAATTGGATTTGCACTGCACTCTGGTCACCATCCTTGAACAGGTCAAGACTCATGAATACGAAGAAGCTTAATGAAAACATTATCTTATTTTGTTGACTGCAACTGTTATTCACTAGTTTTTATGTCTTCCAGGTTTGTTGTTTTGTTTCGCCTGGTCTGTTGCTTCTCAAATCTGACTGTTGCCAAGGTTCAAAGCCCATTTGGAATGAGATTTAAATGGAACAACACCTCACACTGAGGATTCGCCCATCTGCATAAAGTTGATAATACCTCATGTAAATTCGAACCAGCATCATATTCTACATATCACCGATGTGCTGCAGAAATGATTTGTGTTCTGGTAACGAATATTAAAAATGGATAGTCACTCAGAAAATCTCAGC